CAGAATGTGACTTCATTTGGAAATAGTGTGTTTGCAGATATAAATTAGTGAAGATGAGGTCGTACTGGAGTAGGGTAGGCCCTAGTCCAATATGGCTGGCGTCCTTCTTCAGAAGACAGAGACACACAGAGAAGACAGCCACGTGAACAGAGACACACAGGGAGAACACCATGTGAAGGCGGAGGCGGAGACTGGAGTGATGCATCTACAGGCCAAGAAATGCATGGGACTACCAAAAGCTAGGAAAAAGCAAGGACGGATTCTCTCCAGAGTTTCAGAGTGAGCATGACTCTGCTGACACCTTGATCTTGGACTTCTGGCCTCCAGAACTGTGAGAGAATATATTTCTGTGGTTTAAGCCATGCAGTCTCGGGTGCTTCGTTACAGCAACCACAGGAAACTAACACATCCACTTGTGCGTTCTCCACCAGCCGAAGGCGCTCAGACTGACGTCCGTGATTGACCACCATCCTCTTACCATCTTGAGTTTTGGAGGCCTTTCATTGCCCCGGAAGCCAACCTACCTCACCCCTAAAATAGATGTGAGCAAACAGACTAGAATGACTGCATCATTGGGCACCGTCCTCAGGTATGGGCAGCTGCGAGCACCCAGCCGTCAGCACTCACAGCCTCTTTTCCCAGATGCCCTTGAATTTCCCAAAGCAGCCCCCTCGGGAATGCTGGGCCCAGCTGGCCTGTGTCCATCCCATACCTTCCCCAATGGAGTCCCTTCCTCTGCCACACCCTCCTGGGGACAGCGCTGCTGGCCACTTGGAGGTCAAGAAATGGGGGTTCTTGACAGAAAGATGGATGTTTGCAGAGACCCCCACCCCAAAATGTACTCTATCTATGTCAGAAAATACTCTGAGTAGCCAGGTAGTGGCCCAGTAGATGAGTAAGTGGAGGATCAGGCTGCTGGCACGTTCTGCTCAGTGCTGGGAGCAGTCGCAAGGACATGGCCTTCTGTCTGGAAACTCCACATGGAAGGGATCACAGAATGCTGCTTCTGTGCCTTGGGGCAGCAAAGCCAGGATTCAGAGGAATTCTGTCACCTAGAAGATGAACTCGAGGGCTTGGCCGTCCCTGCAGCTGCCATAGCCGTCCTTGCTGGGGGCTGGAGACTGGGTCAAGGGTCTCATAGCATCAGCTCACAGGCCCTCTTCGCCCCCCACGGTCCAATATGGAAATAAATATACATGTCCACTCATCCCCCTGTCAGGAAAAGTAGGCCCCAGCTCTGTACCCCAAGAGCTACAATGAGGCTACTTGTAAAACTAAGAGTTTCTCCTGCAAGGCCTGGGCCTGGGAAGGGACCTGAGCCTTCCTGGCCCCACCTCCAGGCTGCAGGCTGAGCTAGATTCTTGGTGCTCACGGGGTCATTCCAAAGCTAGGACTGGTCAGGAAATGGTGTGTGAGGGCCCCAGGGCAAGACTTGGCACCGTGGCAAACTGATAACATTGGTGCCTTTATCAGAAGCTCTGCCCTTATCCCACATCTCCCCGGTGAGGTTCAGCGACAATAGTGGTAAATGCCGTCAATGAGAGCAGTGTGTGCGTCAGTTATGGTTCAATTATGAAGTACAGCATCCACTTGCACTAGTTTAAGGAGAAAGGGATTTATTAGAGGTACTAAATAGCTTATAGAATCACTGGGGAGGCTGTCAAAACAGGCTAAGTTGGGATTTCAGGAATTATCCCAAAGCCACACTGCAGAGCCAGGCCACCAGAGGAGCCTGCACCAGCCTCCAGCTCTGGATGTGGCAGTGCTGCCACCTCCCCGGTCAGGAAGCTGCCACTGCCGCTGGCTCCAGATCCATGCTGTCCTGCTGTGGTCTACACCCACGAAATGGGCACCCAGGACTCTAGGACTCCTGCCATGACTCCTCTTGGCAAGAGAAAGAAACAACAGAAACACAACCTTTGCTTCAATTCTGCCTTCTTGGGCCAGTGCATCTGATGGGAAGAACTGGAATTGTATTTGGAATCCTAGCTGCAAAGGAGTCAGGAAGTACAGCTGGAAGGGGGACAGGGGTGGATATCCACACCATAGCATATGATGAGGGTGAGTCACGGGGAGAGCATAGGGGGTTAGGGAAGATGATCCTGCAGAAGTGGCATTACCAGCCAGACTGTGGGTGGGTGTTAGCCAGGCCAGGAGAAGCTGATTGGAATAAAAATCACGTGGGCACCATCACGGTGCAGCCAGCAGGGCCCCACCCTCAGACACTGACTCAGTGGGACTGGAGCCCAGCTGTTTGCTGCCCTCTCCCACTTTGGTGCTCTCGATAAAATTCTCCAGTGCCCTTCAGGTACATTCTGTTATCTCTGATCTTCAAGATAAAGCAGCTCCATCAGGTATTCTTACCTTGGCTCAGAGAAGAGGAAGGTGAGGCTGAGGGAGATTAAGCCACTTGCCCTAAGTTGTCCGACTTGCTGGAGGCGGAGCCGCTGACCAGCACCCGACCCTTTCCGCCTGCCAGCCATCTCGAACTGCTCTCCACTGCTCATTTCAGTCCAATTAAGAACAGAAAAGCAGGCAGGCAGTGCGAGTGTGAGCTGGGGATGTGGATCCCAGTGCTGGCCCTGCCTCAGTCTGCTGAGGTCTAGAACAAGCCTCTCCACCTTTCAGAGCCTCTGTTTCCTCACCTGTAAGGTGGGGTGGCTGGAACCTATCTGCAAACTTCTTTTTTTGGCAGTGGGAGTCTGTTTTCAAGAGAGGTGTTGTGTCTATCTACATATAAGACAGAAAAAAGCAGAGCTGCTGTAGTTGCTGCAGGAAGGGATCCAGACCCCCCCCCTTCCAGGATACCACTGCTTGGGGCTCACAGGGCTTCAGCCCCCAACAAATGCCAGTGGCTGCTTGCTTGAGCCCACTCACATCATTGCAAACCTTGACTTTCATCTACAGAGGAAGAGCAGGAGGGGGCTGTCTCTGCAAGTTCAGGGTGCCTGGACATGGGCCGGGGGGAAAGGTGCGGGGTATTTAGGAAACAGAAGAGTTGGCTGATTGGCGATGGGCTCAGCTTGAGGTAAATGGGTTAGATGTGGTCCCCCATTCTGCCACCTGTTTCCTGAATGAAAAATCTTACATCCTAGTCAACCAGAGGTGACATTTGTTTGAGATGAAATGAGCAGTATTTAAGTCGGAAGGGAAACAAGCCCGTCTTGGAGGGCTGCCCCAGGGGAGGCATCCACTCTGCTGGACCTTGGCAGTAAGTGGCCTCCATAAAATCCCGGGTGCCCCCCATCACTGCCTGGCACGCACGTGTGTGTGCATGCACACGTCCGCACATCAGTGCTGCACGTCGCAGGTACACATGGCAGCTACCAGAATGGGCGTGTCCTGGGCCAGCTGAGGGAGTGCCTTTCTGACTGGGCCGGAAAGACCAGCATGGCATCGCACCCTCTGAGTCCACTTCTACCCAGAATTTGAGAAAGCTTTGAGCAAGTGTGGTGGAATCACTTGAGTTAATATTGCTACAGTTTGCCTTTATTCACCAGGGAAGCAGAGAAAGTGCCCTTAAGATCACTGTGACTCTGGACGTGTTGGCTGTTTGCTCGCTCTTGGTTATTAACTGACACCAGAGGCATTCCATGTGCCTCTTCTAAAATCACATCCAACCAAGCATCTTCTGAATGGAGGCGTTCCCGGAAAGCCACCAACTTTTGTTAGAGCTGTTGAGGAAACCTTTGATGCATCTTCTGGAAGAGGCCAGGCACTTGCCTGAGAAGAGGCTGGCAGCAGCCGTCCATGAGAACGGGCCTTCTCGTCGGAGTCTGTAGTTTCTTCTCTGGCTTGGCCTATAGCCAGCCAGAAGGGGCATCATATGTTGTCACAGCCCTTGGAAAGTGTACTCCTGAGGAGGAAGGATGAGACTAACCCGGTGAGACCCAGCCAGAGGCTGTGTTTAATTCAAAGCTAACAGTGTAAGGCACAGAGGAGCAGGGGAGACCAGGGTACTCAGAGAGGGCTTGAAGGAGCTGGTCTTTAAGGATGGATAGAATTAGAAAGGGGGAAGGTCAGAGGAGGAAACTCAAGGTTCAAGGGACTATTAATGATAGCTGACATTTTATACATACAGTGGAATATTACTCAGCCTTAGAAAGGAAGAGCGTTGTGACACATGCTGCAACATGGAGGAACCTTGAGGGCATTATGCTGAGAGAAATAAGCCAGGCACAAAAGGATAAACACTGTGTAATTCCACTTGTGTGAGGTACCTCGTGTAGTTAAATTCAGAGAGACAAAGTCAGATGGTGGTTGGCAGGAGAAGCTGCAGGGAGGGAATGGGGAGTTGTTTAATGGGGACAGAGTTGCAGTCTGGGAAAATGATAGAAGTTCTGGGGATGGATGGTGGTGGTGGTTGCACAACAATGTGAATGTACTTAATGCCGCTGAACTGCACACTTTTATGTATATTTTCCCACAATTTAAAAAAATAAAAATAAAAAGCTTTTGTGGAGCGTTTGCTGTATGCCAGGCACCGCACAGAGCACTTTCCTTCTCTCGTAGTTCTTGCTGTTGCCATATGAAGTAGGCACTGTTACCTGTTTTCATTTTACAAATGTAGAACTTGAGGTTTGGGGTCGTTAAATAAGCCTCCACAACCAGAGGAGCAGTGGTGGTCAAGTGTGGATCGCACCCAGATCTGCGCGAGTCCAAATCCAAGCCCTCAACACTGCGCCGTGTCAACGACAGGCTGAAACACGGGACCTGAAGGCGGCACTCCCCTCCCTGCCGGGCACCGACTTCTGACGGTCTAGAGGCTGGTGTTTCTAAATGTCCCCTTGTCCTGCTGATGGCAAGGATTTGGTTTCCGTCTACCTCCAGAGGCCACTGCCCCGTTCAGGCTCCTGGACTCAGCGGAGCCCTCGTGGCTCTCAGCTGGGTTCCCCGTTGCTTGGTGGTGTTGGAAGTTGTCAGTTGGCTGCAACTTGCACGTAACTGTTACCTATGACTCTTATTTTAAGGAGTGACCTGTGTCGCCTCATCTTTTACAGACCACAGTAATCGACTACGTGAAGCCCTCGGATCTCAAGAAGGACATGAATGAGACCTTCAAGGAGAAGTTTCCTCACATTAAGTTAACACTCAGCAAAATAAGGAGGTACGTGAGGATCGACAGACATCCACTTGAACTTTCCCTTCAGTCCCCTCTCCCAGCACGCGTTAAGCTCATGCTTTGTACGATGGTTCTTCCTGTTGTTCCTGGCACGTGAAACACAGGCACGGTCAGTAAAAAGACTCGTCCGATGCTGGCTGACGGGTGCCTCGACGTGAGAGCCACGGGAAGGGGGACAGAAAGCAGAGCTCTTGACATGTTGACATGGATCTAGGGGGAGTTTCCTTCAGCGAAAGAATAATTTCATGCTCTCTGCAGCTCACCAGTTCAGTAATATTTGTGTTATGGGAAACTCAGAAAGGATAGGAAACATTCGGTTCCCTGCTTTCTCAAATGTAGACAAAACAGAAGAGAAAAGAGTTGGCATCATAGGGTTTGAGATAACACTTTACCTACAGTTGTCCACCCAGAGGTGACAGCCGAGCCCTATCTTTAATCAGTCAGCAAAACAGCCAAAGCAAAATCAGGCCCGTATTTCCGCTACAGCTGATTGGATCTACTTTGTGGTGACCCATATCTGCTGCCAACGAGTCAAGAGGACTGGCCCTGCTGGGCCCGAGAAGAGTGACTGGTGGTGTGGTATCTGTGTGTCAGGACAGCAGAATTGCAGTGCGTGCATGTGTGTCTCTGTGTGTGTGTGTGTGTGTGTGTGTGTGTGTGTGTGTGTGTGTGTAGTAATGGAGGCTAGACTAAACACCAACACAACATTGGAATATGTGCCCACATTTACACACATGGGTATCCCAGTCCATTTGATTTGATTGATTGACGTTTGATTGATTTGATTCTGGCAGGTTCCAAGCCAAAGAGGTAAGGAAAATTAAGTATTCACACTGTCCATTTGCTGGGCAGCATTCCTCAGTTCACTGGTGCTTGTGCTCTTAGCCTCACCCCTCTTCAGCTGTAGTTAATGGACATGACCGATATTCGGCAGAGCTGATAGCAAGTACCTAATTTATTTCTACATTCACCTCTCTGGAATGACCATAGTTCCCCTCTTGGTTTCCCTCTCTCAGAGAGCCCCTCAGGTGTCCACTTGGGTTCAGTGTGATCCTGTGTCCCTGTCGACCTGGTGTGCACAACTTCACCAACAGAGAAGAGTCCGAAGCCCCCGCAACTTGAGTCTGTTGCCACACATTATGTGACTTTCTCACTCAGAGATTTCATTCCATTCCACGTTGCCCTTCTGGAAATAAAAAAGAGAAAAAACTTTCAAGATGGAGTAGTCTTTTTCTCTGGGGTCCCTGAAACTCCACGTTCTGACAAGACTCTGCCCTCCTTGTCTTTCTGTAGTCTGAAGCGAGAGATGCGGAAGCTTGCTCAGGAGGACTGCGGCTTCGAGGAGCCCACCGTGGCCATGGCCTTTGTCTACTTTGAGAAGCTCGCCCTCAAGGGAAAGCTGAACAAACACAACCGGAAGCTTTGTGCCGGAGCCTGTGTGCTGTTGGCAGCCAAAATCGGAAGTGACCTCAAAAAGCACGAAGTCAAGCATTTGATCGATGTAAGTGGCCTGCATCCTGATGGCTGGGGGAGCACACGCTCCAGTCCAGCATTTGTCTCGCAGAAGAGCCTGGTTGGCAACCCTTCCCCGGGGGAGTTCTAATCCTTAGTGGGTAATAGAGACCAGGGCTGTGAGGTCACTCTGCCTGCAGTGGATGTCAGATGCCACGTCTCAGGCCGTCATAAAATAGAGAGATGATCCACTTTGACAAGACTGAAGATCCCCAGTATTGGGTCTCAACATAAAAATCCATTTTCAGACACCATGAGGGGTGAAATTACTCTCACAGCCACAGCAACCACTGTAATGACAAGGGGTCTTGTGGGGAGTGTGACCGCAGAGCGTCCATCAGACGTTGGCTCAACAGACCTTGGCTTTCTGTGGCCGTGGTTGCCTCCTCTTTGGAGAAAGGCATTGGTTTGACAGAGTGGTATCATCTTTCTCCTAAAGGAGATCTCCATCAAAGCAAGGAAACACTGATCTTTTTGGACAGATATATGAATGCCTGTTTTAAAATACAGTGTATTCTTAGAAAATATGGGGTACAGTAAAGCCAACAGATGAGGAGACAGTTGCCATTGAAAAGATAGTTTCTTACTCACAGGTCCTGAGAGGAGGGGTATCTTAGCTGTAAGAAAACACCAGACTGGGTGGCTTAAACAACAGACATTTATTTCTCACAGTTCTGGAGACTGGGAAGTCCAAGATCAAGGTGCCGGCCACTTGTGTTCCTGGCAAGGGCCCTCTTCCTGGCTTGCAGATGGCCACCTTCGCGCTGTGTCCTCACATGGCGAGGAGAGAGAGAGCAAGCAAGCTCTCTGGTCTCTTCTTATAAGGGCATAATCCCATCATCAGCTCCTCTAAACCTAATCACCTCCCAAAGCCCCACCTCCTAACGCCATCACATTGGAGGTTAGGATGTCAACATATGAATTTGGGGGACACAATTCAGTGCACAACGAGGGGGCACAGCACACCATGGGGAGCCATGTGGGGCAGCAGCAGAGTTGGTCAGGAGGCAGAGGGAGAGGAAAGAACCGTGGGCAGGAGCCGTTATTGTGGTTTCTGAAGGAAGGGATGGGCAAGGCAGGGTGAGCAGGCTTAGGCCTGGCTGGTCTGAAGAATTCCTGTGGGCTCTAGGGTACAGGGGCCTAGTTGCCTGGTACCTGGCCCCAGTGATCAGGGCAGGTGGATAGTGGCCTGCAGTATGAGAGCTGATTGAAGAGGTGCTGGGGTGGGCTCTGGATTGGTTGGTTGCACATGAAGAGTACACTTGCAGGTGACTTGTCCAGTCTCTCCAGGAATTGACTAACCCTAGGGGGGCAGTCCCTCCAGGGTCAGCAAGGCCCCAAGATGTCAAAGCATCAGATATGGAAAATAAAAGACGTGGGTAATACCCCATCTGTCCAGCTGTGCAGCTGTCTTCAGTGACAGAGAAGAGAAGGCAGAAAGGGAGCTAATGGAGGTACCCCCCAAATAAGAAAGAGTATTCCTTTTTGTTTTTTAATTTACTGTTTTAATTATTTTTAAGTGTACAGTTCAGTGGTATTATGTACATTTATATTATTTTGCAATCATCACCACCATTCATCTCCGGAACTCTTTTCATCTTGCAAAATTGAATCTCTCTACCCAATAAACAATAACTGCCCATCCCTCCCCATCAGCCCCTGACAACCACCATTCTACTTTCTGTCTCTGAATTTGACTATTCTAGGTACCTCATGTAAGTGAAATCATACAGTATTTGCCTTTTTGTGACTGGCTGATTCCACTTAGCATAGTGGCCTCAAGGTTCATTCACGTTGTGACATATGTGAGAATTTCCTTTTTAAGGCTGAGTAATATTCCACTGTATGTATATACCACATTTTGTTATCCATTCATCCATCAATGGAAGAAAGAGTATTCTTTAGGTCAGTGCTTTACTGATTTTAAGAAAAATCTTAAGAATTTTAAGAAATTTTACAAAATCATCTAGCTTGTGTAGTAAATACTTTTAGGAACTTGGAGGTGATCTTTGGATACCAAATCTGAGCTGAGAACCAATAGGTTTACATAGATATTAGCTGAACTGATGAATCTTTAAAAGTGTGATGTTATGCACATTTCATCATAGTTGAGTAATATACTATACAGCAAAAGCTGATAGTATTAATGCAGAGTGTAAGGGTAGTGGTTTGACAAGCCATTTACAATAACAATTAACCTAATTCAAGATCCCATCCCAGTTATCATCGGAATACAATGACCAACCACTCTGTTGCTGAGATTTTTCTTTTGTTTATTAAGCCAAAGCAGAATGTGCCCTAGCAAGAATGAGGCCTTCCCTGCGCACCCTCACCCGGCTGCTCTGCATTTCTACTCCAGCAGCGCCTACAGCTGGGTGGACCGAGAGGCAGTGCAGGAACACTGGGCGCTCAGCCCGTTCAGATGCACACGAGCTGTGTGATGCTCTAAAAGTGCGGCGGCCTCAGCAGGACTTGGTCCTCGTGACCAAACTACAGCGAAGCAGCTCATCCAATTCTGCATTTACCGCGTGGTTATTATTGTTGTAGACGATTTGCTGTGTTTTTAGTCTTACCTCTAAGCCTGAATAACCTAGTTGTTAACAGGCAGTTTGAGTCCCAGTTAAGTTTTGAGTCTCAGCGTTGCACTTTACTGCCGTGTCATCTTGGACAAATTAACCTCTCGAGCCTGTTTTCGAGTCTGTAAAATGGAGATAAGTGTGGGATGATTGAGAGATCAGTGACGTCATGGGATGTGTGTGAGGCTCCCGGCAGACGGCGGCTCCTCGGGGAGGCTGGATCCCTTCTCCACCGGGACCGCGAGCCGGCAGCACAGCTGTACCTCCCTCTCTGCCTCCACGGTCTTGCTCATCACGGGTTTCTCTGTCAACGCTTACTGGCTGATGAGAGAGAGAGGTTGCTTGTGGAGAAAGCCTAGGATTTTGATTTCAAAGCTAAAATGCTTTTGGTTTTTTTTTAAATTTGTTGCAGAAACTGGAAGAGAAGTTCCGGCTGAATAGACGAGAACTGATTGCCTTTGAATTCCCAGTGTTAGTGGCCTTGGAATTTGCCCTCCATCTGCCAGAGCACGAAGTCATGCCCCATTACCGCCGCCTGCTCCAGAGCTCCTAGCACAGGCCCCTCGGAGGGCCAGAGACCACTTCCTCTGAGCTCGGCGGAGCGGCACTTACTACTGGAAATGCGAAAACAGAACTCATCAGACCCCACTGTTTTCCTCTCAACGTGCTCTTGTGTAGAAGCAGCACCGGAAGCTTTTCAGGGAGTCTTTGGTCTGGCTAGCCGACATGGGCCGCGAGCTGTTGACTACTCACAGAGAAGAGGAGACCGTGTGGAAGACGGCAGCGGTCCTCCCAGCTCTCCACTTAGCAAGAATCTCTGGCTGCCTCACCTGGTCTTCCTCCCGGTGAGGAAGGTTCCTCCACACACAGCCTTGCAGGTGTGGCCCAGGGCCTTCTCTCTAGACTCCTTCCAACTCAGAGTATGAAATTCTAGAGCAGAGGGGGGAGAGTATTTGCAGAAGTTGGGGGGAGGCTTTTAAAAGTCACCCTCACTGTGTCAAAAGAGCGTGCCAATCTATTTTTGTATCAGCTGTTGGAAGTGCACTTTCCCGTAGGGAGCATGGGTGAGCGAGTGTGAGAATGTATGTGTCTGAGAGAGAGCCGTCAGCCCTGACCCCCAAAGCCAGTCTCACCCTCCATAGAGCAGATCTCAGCCTGGGGTCGTGAGCCAGGCTGACCTTGGGCAGTTACTTCTAGATAATCTCTGGATAATAATCATTCTCTCAGTACCAGATTGTCTGACATCCTCTGCCCCTAGAGAATGACATTGTTTCTGTTCTGCTCCTACCACCAACGGGACAAAGAAGATGAGTCGGCGGTGATGGGTGGGTGGGTGGAGAAGCGTGGGGCATGGTGCTCTGTGCCCTTCTGCCGTCACACCGTGTGCACAGATTTCACCTTCGCACTTTTCCCGCCGTGGAGACGGCCAGGGTTGCACTCCGTGGTGTGGATTCCTGTGCTCTATGTTAGAGTGCATAATGAGCACATTTATTGTGCTGTATATGTATATATAAAAGGTGTTTTATAAAAATCCAGAATCGGGGTAAGACGCATGATGGGCGTTTTGAAGCTTTTGACGGCTGGGACAGACTGCGTCATGAGCTGAGGTTGAGTCGATTGACGAGGCAGCCACTCTTGTCATCGCCACATACCCAGGGCTGTCAGTGCAGAATTTTAATTGTGACTTGTCCTGACTCACTGGGACGACCTGTGCTGGGGCACATCACCACACCATCACCCCACAGCCGCAAGAGGGAGGTGCCCACTGGGGTTCGCCTGACTGAAGAAAGCCTGTGGCTGTGTAAAAAGAGAATTAAAATATTTTATTGTTTCTATAGACATGTATGTGTCTATATAGACATACTCCTTGCCCTGCATTACTGATTCGTCTGCCACCGTCCCCACTTCCCATTTCACACACAGCTCTGGAGCGTCTCACATCACCCCCGAGAAAGGGCGACAGGGGAACTGAGTGTGTACCGCTTTAGTTAGCAGAGCTTGAAAGAATCGGACAGTCACACAGGATGGAGAAATTCAAGGAGCAGCTGGGAGAGAGCAAACAGGATACTTGCCTTCTCCAGGGTGGCAGATTTAACTGGGTTTAGTCCCAGATATTTTGCTAACAAATGTCCTTATCCGGATTCAGTTGTAAGAGAGTGATTTTGTTGGGGGATATGATGAACGTGATCTCTTTGGCTAGAGTAACTAATATTTAAGGGGCACCCGCTGTTCATGAGGCAAATTGGGAAGGAAGCACAAAGTATCCCCTGAACTGCAGTTCTCTCCAGTGTCTGCCTCTCCCGATGTCCGTCACTTGCAGCTCTCTGGCGAGCCCCCCGGTTCTCAGCTCACTGAGGAGTGCCTGGCCGGGGGACAGCGTTTCTGAGAGGTAGGGCCACTGGCATCTAGAACTTGCCTGCAGAGCTCCCTGCCATCTGTCTGCCTTGAGTCTCCTGCCAAGCTTGGGGGGACGACCAACGGATGACACAGGCCACCAGCCCAGACATGGAGAGGACAGCCTGTCTCCCTGCCTCCCTCCTTAAAATCAGGCTACCATTCTTGAATTTGGGATAATTTGTTTGGTTTTTAGCATTTATGAGATGGACTTAAGAAGTTGGTCCATTTAAAAAAAAAATACTCAATTTTAAACTTTATTTTGGCCTGTGGATTTGTTGAGTGGGAGTTTTATTCGTTTTAATTTAGTTGGGAGGGGAGCTGAGGATGAAAGATTTTGTCGAGAGGTTTCCTTTGTCGTGTCCGTAGCATGAGCCTTCCGAAGGGACAGGAGGACAAGATGGAGGGTGGGGGATGCAGGTCATAGCCAGAGCTGCCCCTGTGGTGTGGAGACACTTCCCAGCTTGGACCTTGGCAAAGGGTCAAGGAGGCAGCCTGAGCCTGTGTGGAGAGAAGGTGACTCAGTGGACTGTTCTAGAAGACCCTGAGGGTCTACCCTTCCACCCGACACCACAAGTGGCAGGTTTGGCCTCTTGCAAGCCTTGCTCCCTCTCAGGCCTGCCCTGGAGTCTCTCTAGCTCTCCGCATGCACAGATGTCTATGAGGAAGCCCGGCCCAGCCTTGTGCCCCTCCAGTCAACACAAGCTGCTCTGCCTGACTTGGTTCCCCAGCTGGCTTGGGGGACCCGAGGCTCCTCTCCTCTAGTCAGCCCTGACGGCTAGGTCAGGTAAGAGATGAGATCAAGTGAGCAGACAGGCCAGTGCTGCCGCCCTGTCCCGGAGCAGTGGGCCCACTGTGCGCCCTGCCTGGGAAGGGTCTGGTCCCCCATTGCCCAGAGCACCTGCCTTTGGGGCCTGAGCCCAGGCCAGCTCGGTGACACTTCATAGAAGTCACTACTTTCCCTCCTTTTCCCCCAGTCAAACCTGTCTTAAAGCAGGAAACCCACACCAGCTGCAAGCCTGTTCCTTTTCCTTGGTTGCTTTTTTTTTTTGATCAAAAATTCTCCCACAGTATCTGTCATCCTCACCCAGCAGGTCCTCTTTGGGCTATCTGTTACTCCACACAAACCAGCCCATACCACAGGCCATGCCTTGCTGATGTGGGAGCAGGGGACATTGGAGGTGCCTTCCTCTCCTCCTCATTATTAGTACTCCGTCCTGTCCTCTTCATTCCCCCAACAGCAAATAAAACTGTTTACTGCCCCTGCAGCTGGATTCGTTATCTCGCTCTCAGACATTTCCGTGCCCAACTGCCGGCCCTCTCCCTCCACTGGCCCTGGCTGCCTCCATAACTCATCAGATCCTGAAGCCGCCTCACCCCCTTGCGGTCTGCAAATGGGGGGGAGGGGTAGGCTGGAGAGCAAAGCCAATTGGAGCCAGGTAGTTTTGTTACCTGCTAATGGTGTTATCTGTCCAGTGATGGAAGAGTCCTTCAAAGAAAGGGGTTTGTGGGGGAGCATCCCAGGGCTCACCTCTCCCAAGGGCAGGCTGAGTCTACCTCCCCGGGGCTATCAGGGCCGTTTGGGTAAGGACAGTGCTGGCCGGGTCACAGCAGGGCCGGGTAGGAGAGTACTGAGGGCCAGAGGAGGGAGGAAACATCAAGACTAAATCTGGAGTCGCATACCGTCAACACCAACTTAGACAAAAGGCAGCTTCTGGGAGTGCAATGGCAAGGCAGAACTGAGGTAAAAAGCTATAAAAGAATGAAATGATAGGTGAAGGCAATGGTCCTCTTACTGCCAAGGGAACTCAATGCAGGATGCTCAGAGCCCCCACCCCGCAAAGGACCATTCAGACTTCTAAGTAGATGCTCCACAAAGTCTGCAAACACAGAGCTGGTTGAACCATGAAAAAGCCTAACGAGGGTGATGCCTGCCTATATACTATCTCCCACTACCATCTTGCTACACAAAAGTGTGGTCTGAGGACCAGCAGCATCGGTATCACCTGGTGGCTTGTTAGAAATGCAGAACCTGGGGGCTGCTCTGGTGGCATAGCAGTTAAGGTCACGCGTTCTGCTTCGGCGGCCGGGGTTCGCTGGTTCGGATCCTGGGCGCGGACCTACTCACTGCTCATCAAGCCATGCTGAGGTGGCTTCCCACATAGAAGAGCTACAACTCTACAACTATGATACACAACTGCGTACTGGGGCTTTGGGGAGAAAAAAGAAAAAGAGGAAGACTGGCAACTCATGTTAGCATAGGGTCAGTCTTCCTCAAAAAAAAAAGATGCAGAATCTGCATCTTAATAAGATCCTGTGGAGATTTGTATGCATAAAATCTGGGAGGCACTGTTTCTCCATATAAGCATAGGAAAGAAAATTTTTGTCTGAAAAAAGATACCATTTATCATGTATAGAGTTGTCTGAAATAGAGAAAGGTGCAGAGACACAGTAGGTGGTTTTTAATACCAAAAAAATAGCGCCAGTCTCTCACTGAAAGGGAGTTTTGACATCCGTTTACCTAGCTGCCTCATCTAACATTTTCTGGATGCACGTGGCCAGAAAGATTTCAACTGGACTAAGCTATGGTTAACCTCTTGTAGGTCCCAAATGCAGGGCAGGCTTACAGGGGGTCGCCTCAACCGGTGTTGACCAAGATCGCTGCTCGGATGAGGCCTGTATCCCAGGTTCTTGGGCCCTTGGGTGGAGGGCTGCCGAGGGTGCTGGAGCGGGAATCCCCTCTATCCTAGCTGGGGAGCGGTACAGTTGTGACCTTGGGGACATCAAGGTTGAACAGACCTCCAGTTTCCTTGGACTGATACTCGTTGAGGTCCATCTAGCATTTTTTAAATGTGTCTTAAACTGGGTTCTCTGGGTGACAGCAGGGACCCCAAGGGCCTGCCCCTGAGGGGCTTCCAGAGGTTAGACAGTGACCCCTGGGGGCGGGTAGAAGGCACCCTCACTAGGTGCAGTGACACTGTTCTCCAGAGGGAGCCCCGACCATGCAGAAGCTCAAAAGGGAAGCCCCGACTTCCAATGGGCCTGGCATAGTCAAGCCCAAGGCAGCGGTTGGAACTGCTGCACAGGAATCAGCCTGGCACACGAGGATGAGGCAGGCCAAGTTAGGGCAGACCTGTGAGTGGAGACCAGGAAGACAGGCTGAATCAGAGACTGCTTACCAGGGCACCTGGACGGCCGGTGAGAAGCCAGAGATGTGAACGGGGTTGGGCAGATACCCCTTGGACACAGTGTTTGACAAGGGGCGGAGCTGGGAGGACTTGATAGTCATCAAGCAGATAGCAGGCGCCAGCCCTGTGCTAGGCACCTAAAGCACATGTCCTTATTTAACCTTTAAACAAACTCTAAAATTAGGTCTCATGCTCCCATTGCATAGATGAGGAAACTGAGACTCTGAAAGATCACTTGACTTCCCCCAGGTCACACGGCTATGAAGTGGCAAAGGCAGGAGTTGTATCCAGGTCTGTCTGACTCCCAAGCCCAAGTGGCTGTCCTGTCTCAACTGAGGTCAAAACAGAGAAGCTAAGAAAGCAGAAGGCCGGAGCAGGCAGCCATCAGATGTCCCCATGACCTGCTGCACTGATGGCCTCTCGGGTTAGGTGGGGCGTTCTCCCCACCCCCTCCAGCAGCCGCCAGCCCCTTCCACACACAGGGAAGGGATCTGGAGCCACTAAGTCTAGTGTTGTTCTCACGGTATGAGCAGCCTTCAGAGCTGACAGCACACTTCTGGGCCCTGGAAGAATGTGGGCTTTTTGGAAAACGTGCTTCTGCAACAGGTGAGCTAGGGGGCTTTTGAAACTAAGCAGATGGTCACAGTGCAGTGTAATACAGCCAGTGGTCTTGCCCACCAGCATTCCACCAATTAGTTTCTCATTTTGCACATATGGGTTTTCCACCATGTGTGATAATTAACACAAATTCTCTTTGCCCCAGTACTCTGCATGTTCCTTGGCTGCCGTCCCTCCTACCAGTGTGTGACTCGGAAGTGCACACTTTTTTTTCTCTAGGGCTGAGCCGAGTGTACCTCGGGCAGGCAGGCAGCTGGCAGGGAGGCCACAACACACAGTGGAGTCCCTAGGGTGCTCCGGGATTATGAGCTGTTTGAGACTATTCATGCCTCAGCCCCCAAATGTCACATGCGGAACACAGGCCCTCGTCAGATGCGAAGAGAGGCCCTTTCACAGTCATTAACTGCTACTCTAGACCATTGGGTTCAAGATGGTTCAAGAGGAACAGCATCCAACACCGTCTCCTCAAGCACCCAGCACAGTCCCTGGTACACAGAATTCACCAAATAAATGTTGGTTGAGTTGACTGAACCATCACAAAATAATCACCCCATTGAGCAAATTGTTCTCTGTTTGCAGCTCTGAGTCAATTCTCTGTTCGGGTCACACCCAGGTCTGACCCTATAGATCACACCACCAGTTCCCATGCCCTCCAG